GACGTGAATATGAAAGCGATCTTCGCAGTAATGAACACTACTTGAGCATTAGTGGAAATAAGGCTACTAATAACCAGCTCCCAGTTGGCTTTTTAGCTCGGTTGGTAGAGCACTGCACCGGTATCGCAAGGGTCATGGGTTCAAATCCCGTACAGGCCTGAATTTTTTTAGACCTTATTTTCACTACCGGTCAAATAGTGTTCATTACTGCGAAGATCGCTTTCATATTAACGAGGCACTCAGTGTCACCAATGTTCCTACCACATTTTGAAGTCCTCTGGAATCTATTCCTGGGGGACGTTATCGTACAGACCTATGACAACATGGAATTTATTCGTTTAATATGATCAAAAACAATAATGCCACGTCCTCATGCGTCTTTCCTGCAATAGATCATAACAAGAACTTGCGTGCAATATTCAGCTTATCAGCCAGTGCTTGCGTGTAACATTCAGCTTAACATCTATAGCGCCATGGTCTCTAAAGTGTTAATTCGAAGATTTAGGTGTGTATTGTAATATTAAAATGTATTGTGTTGCAGCTAATGGATTTGTCTGGAATTGAGGGAATGATGTCATGGTATGTTATGTAAATTTTCTTAACTTAATGGTGGTAAGTTCGTTGTGGGTTGAATTTGTAAGAGTTGTGATCGAATGTAAGTGGTTTTAACTTAACCAGGAATGCTACAAATACTGCGCCGTTTGAGTGCAGGCTCAGCTTCGTGTAAAAGCAAGGCCTGATTCTTGCATGACTACTATTTGCGGTTGCAGTACATGCCAGTCTCATCTAGTGTTTTACTGTATACATCCTAATAGAAAAATAGTAATCCTGAATTCCTTTTAAAATCAATAAAGATTAAAGATGACGCAGATAGTTTAAACAACTCGTGTCATAACAGGAAAAATAAATTGACACTTGCTTAGCCCAATATGCACGGAGGACAATCATTAAAACAATTTAATTCTTTAACCATTAAACTGTTTGGGCTCAAAAGTAATTCTCCCTTTCGCCTGCCATATATTACTTATGCATCATTTGAGAGAATTTAGTGGTCTATCAGGACAACACTCTCAGGCTGACATGTTGGTCTAATCTCATGACTCTCGGCTGGATAATATGTGGAAAATTATTTGGATGCGTTGCGTGCAAAACAAAACTTGGCAATCAAGCGAAAAAAAGGAAATTTCTATGAATCGATTTGACTTAGAAGACAAATTCTTTTTTGACGAAAAAGTTGAATCCAACCATGAGAAGGTTATCGATGCATTCTTGACTTAAGGGAAAGTTTTCATGCAGAAACCTTCTTTAATATGTTAATTCTCAAACTTTCGGACTCTGGGACTTTAAGACGTAAATTACCATTAGCGCAGCTTTTTTTCTGCACGAAGAATATACGCAGCCCACAATTCCTTTATTCGATCAGACGAAGAGCTGACGCTCGAAACCTCAGCATATCACTTTATCAACACAATTGATTGAACCAAATTATCGTGTAATATCTCTCACCGACACAGCACTGCAGTTTCTTTAGAATCTTACCCTCTTTACGTATTTATTTTTAGCCAGTATAAATACGTGGTCATTTTGAAGAGATAGGAGTACAAGTTGCAGTTAAAAACACGCATTTTAATAACACCGCCCTCCCACTCTCGTAAATACCTTTCCGCCGAGCTTTTTCAATTATAGTTATGTTAATAGAGCTTGCGCGTGACAAATTTGTGTTTACATCTGTCGATAAAGTCCTTTGCTTTAAGTTACCCCTCCTCTAGGGAATAATCTGTTGCCAATTTGGAATTATTATTGACACGGTGCGGTGATGTTAATGAATTTTTCTTCCTGGGCGTATTAAATGCTAGGCTTACCTTCTCCCGAACCAGTATCAGGAAGGCTGTCGTGTCTACAGGTTGAATTTCAATTTAGAAGTGCATTATGTTTCGGATCATAACAGCAGTTCGTTTTCTGTTGTCGCTTTTGGCTCTGATCCAGTTATGTCGTAAAGGTATTGTATATTTTTGTGTACACGCCGTATGTTTTTTTTAAATTAGTGATTAACATAGGCGTCTCTACCATTGAGAGTTTTATCATCTTTCACCCAGATCGAAAGCTGTTGAAGATTCTTAGCCTTGCTTCTTGGTAACAGCCAAAACAGTTCAACCGATAGATCAGCTGTTTTTATTGAGTGAAAGGAGTAGCTTGTTTAAACAAATTAAAACCTCTATCTCGACGAAATCTTCTTAGATATTAAAGGGACAGAATATTTTAAGCCATCCTCCCAAACAGCATTTAAAAGATAAATTCTTGAACTCGAAACCCCAATAAAAATATCTGATATTGCATTAATCAGAACATGTTTCGTTGTGTATTCTAGATAGAAAACCAAATTGACTGTTTGACATTTCTCAAACCGTTCGACGTATACGCGTCGCATTCTAACTTATCGATGAGTAGTTACACAGTAAAATCAGTTTTCAGCTTTTTTTTTTTTATTTATACTTCGCAATAAAACAACAAGAGTTAAGAATTTTCATTATTTCATAAATGAGAAAGCTTCATCTTTCATGACAAATTCTTCGCGTGGCGAGGCAAGAGACGATTCAACTTCACGATAATCACTGCATTCGTCAAATTGAATTGTTCGGTGTTCTTTGTCGAATACCAATGTCACCTGGCAACAAAACTAAACATAAAGAAAGAAAGAAAAAAAGAAAGAAAGAAAAAAAGAAAGAAAGAAGAAAAGCTAAGAAAGAGAAGCGTCAAATATATTGCTTTTTGATTACATCATGAATTTCCGATAATCCCAACTATCTTTCTTTAAATTTAAATTTCCCCTGGGAACAGCCTAGCTCCTTGCAGAGTTATAGTTATTTCATTTCAACAGCTTTGCAGTGTTGGAACATTCCAAACGTGGAATCGACAGCATGCCTCTTAAAAAATTGTAATCATAACTCTTTGCGTGAAACAAAGATATTACTATAACTACAGTTTTTCCTTATCAGACACAGTTCTTAGTATTTCATATAACTCACTTATACATATTTCAGGATTGATTTAAAGATGTTTGACAAAGTTACAGTTTTAATTAGGGATGGAAAGATTTTGGAGGAAAAAAGGTAGACTTATTTTTAAAAAGCGCTTAGGGATATTATTCGTCATACTTAGATCATTTAACGATGTAACACAGCATTA